TGCAGTTCTATTTATGGCATTTGGGTGGTTAATTGGAGCTAAGAGTCTCATAGACATTACTGTCTTGGGCTGATTTCTCATCGTGATCCTCAGATCTGATCCTCCTAAGTAACTAAATAGGCAGGCGCCACCAGCATGCAGTCAGTTGTGTGGTTATTACTGTTATTGTTGTTGTTATTGTTATCGTTAGTACTTGTACAAAAGAGTTGCCATTAGTTGTATGGTTCTGCTCATGGTCTGTCATGTAGTTACAGTCAGATAGTGGCTAGGTCCTGTGGAAATCTCCTCTTATGTGTGTGGTGGTAGATGCTGGCTGATGGTCTCTATATAGTTTGGGCTTTTGAACAACATGTTAATTGTTGAAGAAACTTTGAAAAGCAAGTTCTGAGAAAAAGAAAGGGAAACAGGAGGGAGCATGTGCTTCCAGGTACCAAGGGAGGATGTTTCTCCCTTAATTACCTAGCCTTGGAAATCATTCCACTGCATTTTATTCTTTAGAAGTGAATTGCTAAGGGAAGCCCATCCATAACCAAGAGGAAAGGACTTTCAACTCTCTCTCTCTCTCTCTCTCTCTCTCTCATCTCTTGTCAGTTATAGTGTTTGAACTCAGGACCTGGGTACTATCTTTGAGCTTTTCTTTGCTCAAGGCTGGTGCTCTACCACTTTGAGCCACAGCTCCACTTCCAATCTCACCCGACTTCCCTGTTTGCCAGGCTTTGAAACTTGATCTTCATATCTCAGCCTCCTGAGTATCTAGGATTACAGGTGTGAGCCACCAGCATCAAGCTTAACTCCATTTCTTAATGGGAAGAAGGTAAAAAAAAATTCACAGGAAGTGGCGCTGTAGCTCAAGTGGTAGAGCGCTCGCCTTGAGCTGAAGAGCTGAGGGACAGCGCCCAAGCCCAGAGTTCAAGCCCCACGACCGACCAAAAAAAAAAAAAAAATTCACAAACATGTAGTGAAATGCTCACAGTTAGGCTCATATCAGAGAACAGTAAAGCTAAATATCTAATAAACTTGGATAGAATAAATGTTGTACAAAATGTTTAACAGCTGGATTGGCATGGATCTGAACAAAGAAAAATATAATAGCATTGACAACTGGTAGGGCCTGCTGGTACAGCTGCTTAATATCAGTTCTGGGGATAATCAAGGTGCCAACTGGGCCTTGGAGTGAATAGAAACTGTAGTTGGGATGGGTGGGGTTCTGGAGTGGGAAGGTCATGTATCTGAGGTATGATGTTTTAGTGATCCTTGCTGAAGCTTTCATAGTCCCATTGGGCTTGAGTTTCAACCACTGGTTGATTTCTTTGTTTTGTCTTTCTCTGTCTATTAGTGTTAGAAACATGTTCACTTGGTGGCATTTTTGTGTGTTTGTGCTGGCACTGGGGCTGGAACTCTGACTGGACACTGTTCAAGACTGGTGCCACTTGAGCCACACCTCCACTTCTGGCTTTTTGCTAATCAGAGATAAGAGTCTCACAGACTTTTCTGCAAAAACCATGATCCTCAGATCTCAGCCTCTTGAGTAAATGAGCACTATTGGTGCAAGCTACTGGTGCCTGGCTGCTTTTTAGTTTTTTATTTAAAATTTATTCAAATTTTAGACTTAAAGGGTATTATCTAATAATTAAGAACAATGTTTTAATTGTTAAGTAGTTGTATAAGGGGGTTACAAGTCCATTAGTCAGGTGATCAGTACAATGCTTCTTGACAATGTTACCCCTTCCTTTATTCTCCCCTATTCTCTCCCTGCTGGTTTTCACCCACAAGTTACAAAGTTTATTTTCTACATAGTGTCTATTGAATACAATGACTTCTTTTTTTTTGCCAGTCCTGGGGCTTGAACTCGGGGCCTGGGCACTGTTTCTGGGCTTCCTTTGCTCAAGGCTAGCGCTCTACCACTTGAACCACAGAGCCACTTCTGTCCTTTCCTGTTTATGTGCTACTGAGGAATTGAACTCGGGGCTTCATACATGCTAGGCAAGCACTCTACCACTAAGCCATATTCCCAGCCCAATGACTTCATTTGCTTACCCTTCCTGCCTTCATTCTTGTGTTGCCCACCTTAGTAAATACAATTACCTGGTATTGATTTTAATAAACACTAGTTGTTAAAAATGAAAACGATATATAGAAACCAAAATAATACATATGCGTAAGATAATACCATACTATGAAGGTTTTGACATTTTTTCTTTTTCTTTTTTGTCATACTTGGAGTTTGAATTCTGGACCTGGGTGCTGTCCCTGTAATCTTTCCCTCAAGGCTAGCACTCTACCACTTTGAGCCTCAGCTCCACTTCCAATTTTGTGGTGGTTCATTGGGGATAAGAGTCTCATGGGGACTTTCAGATCTCAGCTTCCCGAGTAGCTAGGATTACAGGAGTGAACCACCAGTGCTTGGTGGTTTTGAGCCTTCTCAATGATCATATTCTAAAATTTTGAAAACTTCTTGGCTGAAGGGAAGAGTTGTGAAGGATGGGAAGAGGAAAATCCCTAGGAATATATACCATCATTTGTGTTCATTATGGTTGAATCGAATGCTATTTAGAAGCCAAGTTACCTGGATTCTTTCCTCTTACCTACAAATGGTAGACTCTGGGTATAGTTTCCAATTGCAACAGTAACAAATAACTACAATCATAACAAAACAATAAGCATTTCTCCAAGTTCTACAGTTCAGAAATCTGCCTTGGTTTGGCTGTTTACTCAGCTTTGGGTTTCAGAAGACTTAAATCAAGGGACCAGCTGACTGAGGTCTTATCAAGAGTCCCTGAGAATAATTTCTTTCCAAGTTCACTGAGATTTGTGTGCTGAGTCTCCTTCCTGTGGATGAAGGGCCAAGGTCCTCACTTCCACTGGGGTCATGTGGCCTCTACATGTGAGAGCCAGCAATAGAGCTTCAAATCTTTTTCCTCTTTTCAATCTTCCTGACTTCCTCTTTGTACTGTCTCGGATTCTAGCCAGAAAAGTTGTTTGTTTTGTTTTTTCTTATAAAGGTTTACAAGATTAGGTCAGGTCCTGATAAATAATCCAGGATAAAGGCCTTATCTGAAAGACCTTACACTTAATTATATCTGCAAAGTTCTTTTTTTCCTCTCTGAGTAACATTGTATTGACAGGATTCCTGGGATTAGTATATAACCGTAATTGTACCCATTGTAGATAGCCAGTTGAAGTCAATAAAGGTGTGTTCCCTTCCCCTGGATTGCTCAAGGAATAAGGCAAACCTGTGTTAAAGATTAGGGCCTACTTGAATTAATTGCCCTGAATTAGAAAGAAAGAAAGGAATCATCGTTTTATAGTAGTTCTAGATAACTGGGCACTGGTGGTTCACATCTGTAATCCTAGCTACTCAAGAGGCTGAGGTCTGAGGATCATGGTTCAAAGCCAGCCCAGGCAGGAAAGCCCATGAGACTCATCTCCAATTAACCACCAGAAAACTCGAAGTAGAGCTGTAGTTCAAAGAAGACTCAGGGACAACACCCAGGTCCCGAGTTCAAGTCTCATGACCAGCAAACATAACAACAACAATAATAATAGTAATATTAGTATATAACAACAATAAAGTAAATTAATTATTAAAAATAAAAAAGAAATAGTTATAGATTTCAGTTTTGACAGAGGAAGGTGCTATCCTTCTGAATTTCCAGGAGCATCTCTAGAATAATACAATCTAAGGTTTAATGGAAGTGTCATGAAGTGAGACAGACCAGACTAGACCTTATACAATATATGGTGCATCTAAGACTCGGATTCTCATCTGTGAAATGGGCTAATAATTCCTATAGTGGTTATAGGGAAAAACTAGGACAGGGCAAATGATTAGTGATTAGTGAATGTAATTAGTGAATGTAAAATAAGATGGCATGCTCATAGACTTCTGTATATCTAGGGAGAAGGTATGAGTGCTCCAATGACAATCAATGCTGGGGTTCCCTATCAGTTTCATATTAGATGAATATAAATCAATTTGTGAGTTGGACATAATTATTACACATAAGGCATTTATACAAGGTTTGTTTATCAGTCATGATGGGGATAGAACCCAGAGGTTCCTGAATGCTGAGCATGTGCTCTACTAATCAATTATATACCCCTAGTCTTTTATAACTTCATTTTGGTGGTTCTAAGGTTTGAACTTAAGGGCTTGCACTTGTGAAGCAGATACTCTGCCACTTGAACCATGACCTCAGCTCTTTTTACTTTATTTTTCTTATGTTTATGCCTCCCCTGCCAGGGCTGCTATTTACACTTCCTGCATAGCTGGGATGACACGTGTGCCACCACACCTAGATTTCTATGTTGAGATGGGTGTTTCATGAACTGTTGTTTTGCTTGGGCTGGCCTTGTACCTTGATCCTTTTGATCTCAGCTCCCTGAATAGCTAGGATGACAGCTATTGGAAAAGATAGGATTTTGTGAACTTTTTCCCCTGAGGTAGCCTCCAATTGTAACCCTTCCAATCTCTGCCTCCTGAGTTGCTATGATTACAGGAATGAACTGTTGCAAATGGCTGAGACAGTTAATTTTTTTTTTGCTACTTAAATTAGTAAAGTTTGTCGTGGAGCAGGCTGACTGTCTGGGTAGGGGTTGCACTTTATTCATTTCATTTCAAATAAGTCTCTGGATGATCACCAATCTACAACTTCCTAATGGACAGATTAGGGATGATACAGGTATAAATATGTAATTGTTCTACTGATTCATCGAACAGTCTGGAAAAAAGGTTGTGCCTACTCCTGTTTACAATTTCTCACTAAAGCTTTTCCAGAAGCACTTGTGCTGAATTTTTCTGTGAAGTTATGAACAATGAATAACCAAACAGGTTTAATGTAGGATAGAGCCAAGGCTCTAACAGAGGCAATAATTTCCCTTCATGCCAATATCAATATTGCATTGGCGGCTACTAGATTCAATCACATTGTGTTTGCCTTTGCTCTCTACCTGCCTGGATACTGGTGGTCATGCTGTACCATTTGTTTCTTGTCCTGCAGGTGGTTTACAAACCCGACAACTGTCAATGCCTTCTACAGTGCGTCCACTAACCAGATCCGTGAGTAGCAGCTTCATAGCTTGTTAATCTGCCACCAAATAAAAAGAATTCTTCCATTTTTGTGAAGAGTATGTTATTCCTTATCTCCCCCCTCAAACTGATTGGGTATGTTGAAAGTAGTTTGTCTGCCTATCCATAGGCTCAGTTTTCCTTACTCCTTTCATTGCACTAGCATTTAATTTTATTTTATATATTTTTGGTGCCATTCTTGGGTTTGAACCCAGGGCCTAGGCACTGTGCCTGAGCTTTTTTTTTTTTTTTTTTTTTAACTCAGCTCCACTTCCAGCTTTTGGTGGTTAATTGGAGGTTAGAGGCTGATGGACTTTCCTGCCCAGGCTAGCTTCAAACAACAATCCTCAGATCGCAGCCTTCTGAGTAGCTAGGATTATAGACGTGAGCCACTGGCGCCCAGCTCCTCCTTGCTTTCTTCCATTCTTTTTTCCCACCAGGCTGACTTCCTTTCTGTTTTAGAGCATGCCCTGTTCCAGGCTATTTGTCCTTGGAAAATTCCCCAAGTGCTCTGCATGCATGGCTCATTCCTATTGCCTTCAATCTTTACTTCAAAGACATCTTGTCGGTGATACATCCCACCTACCCTCTGGCCAGTCAACTAGCTAGCCAGAGGCCCTCCAAGTTGCTCTGGTCCAGACAGGACTCTCAGTGAGAGAGCTCAGTTGGGTGGATGGGCCTATTCGCTGTTGAAGTCACCCTCGTGTGGCCACTATGGGAAATGGAAATCTCTGCGAGACTGGTCTGTGAGAACTAGGAACAGAAGGAAAACAAGCAGATGGTGCTAATTTTTGATTTCAACATTAATTACTATAACCAAATAAGTTGTTAAATATTTTGAATGTCAATCCTCACCAGATAAATATTCATTACCAGGAAAATACTGTTGCTTTCTTAAGGACCTGATCTCCAAGTTGAGAAGTAAGCTGCATATGTTACTTGAGAACTTATGTTATTTGAGGTATTAATTATAATGGAAATTTATGCTATTTATTTAAATACGTGAAGCACTTAGAATATTCTACTAGGTGATAGAATGTTGCTTAGTTTATTCATTTTTAAAAGAAAATATATTATTATGTAGTATTTGGTACATGCAAAAATTGGTAGAACATGCTGGCATGTGTTAAGTTATAAAGTATATAAGAAAGCACAAAATTAATATGTGCCTAGGTAGCTCTCACTTGACCAAGAAGCAGAAAATCACCAGGTATTATTATATCTTTCCATCCCCCCATACAATTTCTTCTTCACCACAGAAGTAACCACTATTGTGGGTTTTGTATTTATCTTTACTTATGTATTTTTTTGTACTGTTTTGGGGACTTGAACTAAGGGCCTGAGTGCTGTCCCTAAGCTCTTGTGCTCAAGGCTAGCACTCTACCACTTGAGCCATAGCTCCACTTTTGGCTTTTTAGTGGTTAATTGAAGATGAAAGTTTCATGGACTTTTCTTTCTGGGTTGGCTTTGAACTGTGACCATCAAATCTCAGCCTCCTTAGTAGCTAAGATTATGGACCTGAGCCACTGGTGGCTAGCTAGTGTTTAATTTTTTTTTTTTGTAGTTGTAGGCCTTGAATTCTGGGCTTGGGTGCTATCCCTGAGCCTCTTTCTGCTCAAGGATAGTGTTTTGCCACTAGAGCTACAGCATCACTTCCAGTTTTTGAGTGGTTAATTGGAGATAAGAGTCTCTTGGGGGCCTGGGAATGTGGCTTAGTGATAGAATGCTTGCCTAGCATGAATGAAACCCTGGGTTGGATCCCTCAGTACCATATAAACAGAAAAAGCTGGAAGTGATAGAGTGCTAGCCTTGAGCAAAACAAGCTCAGGGACAGTGCCCAGGCCCTGAGTACAAGCCCCAGGACTGGCAAAAAAGAAAAAGAAAAAAAAAATAAAACAGTCTTATGGGGACTTTTCTGCCCAGGCTGAGTTTGAACCATGATCCTCAGATCTCAGCCTTCTGAGTAGCTAGGATTACAGGTGTGAGCCACTGGTGCCCAGCTTTGTGTTTAATTTTTAAAAAATTAAATATTTAACCATTTTTATTAGTATACCTAAATAATACATTATTTTTATTTTTAGTAGAATAAAAATGGTGTACTATTGTATGTAATCTGTGTGTGTGAGAGAGAGAGAATGAGAGAGGGAGAGAGTTTGTGTGTGCTGGGGCTTGAACTTAAGGCTTTGCTCTTGCTTAGATTTTTTGCCAAGGCTGGAGCTCTACCACTTGAACAACAACTCCACTTCCAGCTTTTTGGTGGTTAATTGGTGATAAATGTCCTGTCTAGTCTGGTTTTGAACCATGATCCTCACATCTCAACCTCCTGAGTAGCTAGGATTACAGGGTGAGCCATCAATACTTGGCTCTCTATGTAATGTTATAAAACTCAATTTTTTTCAACCAACATTCAATGTTTTAAATAATTTTTATTTTTGTCAGTCATGGGGCTTGAACTCTAGGCTTGGGTACTGTCCCTACGCTCTTCGGCTCAAGGTGTGCGCTCTACCACTTGAGCCACAGCGCCACTTCCTTAAATAGTTTTTTTAAAATTATATTTAAATAGTTGTACAAAGGATTTCAACTCAACATGTCAATGTATGTACACAGTCCATCTTGGTCAGTGTCACCTCTTCCATCAGTCTCCCCCCATCTATCCTATCCCCACCTATCCCCTGCTAGTTTCATTTTCACACACACACACACACACACACACACACACACACACATATACACACACATACACACACACACACTAGCTTTATTCACCCACCCTTCCTTTCTCCATTCCTTTGCTCCCTCTCCTTAAACACTAACCCCTCTGAAACAGGACATGCTTCAGCTTCAATCAACATAATTTTAAAGGTTCTTATAGGTAATATGTGACAGTTCCTTTTATTCCATTTTTCACTGCTGTTTAGCATTCCTTTGCCTGACTACACTGTCAGAGTATTTATCTGTTCCAGATGATGATAGATTTACCCATCCTTTACCTTTCCAGGTTTTTGTTCTTACAAAGAGTGCTGCTTGAATGTTCTTATACTGTCATATTGTCTCCTGACACAAGTCAGGAATATGCACGTCAGTGAGGAATTCCTCACCAGTACGATATGCTAAGACTTAACTTGACTAAATGCCTTTCAAAGTGGGCTGTCCAAAATCCGGAAGTATTTCTGTTCCTCATTTGCATCAGTTCTTACCATTGGTAGACTGAATTGCGCCTGCTCAGTGAGGGTAATAGATTAGCTCTCGTGCAGGAAGGATATGAGAGTCTCTTCACCAGTATTCCACACTTACTTCCATGCTTACTTTCAAGTGTCCCTAAGGCTTGCTCTCCACTGGACCCTAAGACGTATATAATAATAGTTCTGCCTTCAGGGTTCCCTGCTGGTCTGCTTTTTTCTTTCCTGGCAAGCACGGATCCTATCAGAGTTTACCGAGGAAGAAGCAATTTCAGGATGGCCCAATGGGTTCTAAGAAAGCTCATGGGCAGAGGGGTTTCCAAATGAACAATTTGAAGCAGTATTTTAATTAAGAGATTCAAGCTGTTTCTATTTTCCTAATGACCAGTGCTTGCTCTCATTGTAAATTACATTGCCAGACAGGATGACAGGGAATCCTTTGGGTGACTTTCTGTTCTGATTTTCCGGACTACAAATTAAGACAGGTGGAGTTGCTTCATACTCACATCCCCACTGGATTTCCTGGGCCTCCCACTGTCCCACTTCCAACTGCCATCTTTGTGCTTCACTGAAGGAGTGAAAAATGGAGGTGATTTTCTAAAATGAACATCTTTATTGATTAGGGGCTAGCACTGACAGCATGTGGCCATCTGTTTAATTGGGTTCCACATCTATGATGTAACTATACTTAGTAACGTGATTTATGAGAATTTCATTCTGTTCTCATTATCATTTTCTGATTTATGCCACTTAAGTCTGCTTCTCCATGCAGTAGAGACTTGAATTGAAAATAGAAAATCCTAGAGGATGGTTAGTTTGGGTTTTGGTTTTGGTTTTGCTTAAATATGTCTTTGTGGGAAATCCTGGGCCTCGTGGACATCTTACAATGTTAGATTTTGCAGGTGGATTGAAGCTTCTTTCTTTCCTTGTCAAGTTGAGTCTTTAGACATGGAGTGTAGGGGGAAGTCCATGATGGTAATGTGCTGTGTGATGAGCTATCCTTAGCAGCTGTCACAGAATTTAATTTTCTAAGATAGGTAAAGAAGAAAACAAGCAGCTGAGTTTGTCAGTGCTTCGCTGTGTGCTTCTCTAACTTTTTGTTAACTACAAAACTGGTCTTCCCGTTTTGCTAAGGACAAAAGTAAGAATCCCAATGGAAGACCTTGAGTGCCGTAGATCTAATTATATGACCCTAGTGGAAAAATTTATCCCTTCTGGCCCTCATTGTCCATGTTGAAGTTACCTAGCCCATAGGGTTGTTTTTGTTTTTTGGTTTTTTTTTTCGGTCATGGGGCCTGAACTCTGGGCCTGGGCGCTGTCTCGCAGCTTTTCAGCTCAAGGCTAGCACTCTACCACTTGAGCCACAGCACCACTTCTGGCTTTTTCTGCTTATGTGGTGCTGAAGAATTGAACCGAGGGCCTCTTGCCTGCAAAGCAAGCACTCTACCACTGAGCTATCTTCCCAGCCCATAGCCCATAGTTCTTTTTTTTTTTTTTCTTTTGGTGTGTGGGGAGGAGGGGATTGAATAGGATGTAAAGTACCAATGTATTGTTGAAATGAAGGCTTGTATTTTTTCTTCCTTTTTCTTTTGCTTTTTTTCCTCCTTCTTCTTCTAGTACAGGGCTTTGAACTCAGGACCTCATGCTTACGAGGTAGGTATTCTATCGCTTAAATGATGCTCCCATCCCAGGGCTTGTATTTTTAGAACTAGTATATCAGAAATTCTCCAGACATCTAGTGAATTACAGGCGAAACACCTGAAGATTTCATGTGGGAGGAGGGAATTTTGAACATGTGCTGTCAAAATTTTT